CATCATCATCACAACCACCACTATCACCATCATCAGCATCATCATGATCAGCATCAGTATTATCAGCATCATCATCATCTTAATCCTCATCGGCTTCATCACCATCACCATCCTCAGCATCATCAGAACCAGCATCAGCATCATCATGCTCCTCATCATCATCTGAATCATCATCTCCACCATCACCATCATCATCATCGTCATCAGCATCAGCATCATCATTATCATCATCAGCATCAGCATCAGCATCATCAGCATCATCATCAGTAGTATCAGTTTCGCTATCATCATCACCATCACCAACATCATCAGCACCCTCTTCATTTCCACCACCACAACTACCACAACCACCACCACCACCATGACCATCATCATCAGCAGCCGCACCATCATCATCATCATCAACATCAGCAGCAGCCGCACCATCATCATCATCATCATCATCATCACCATCATCATCAACATCATCAACATTATTATCAACAACCTCATCATCATCATCGTCGTCAGCATCATAGTAAGCATCATCATAAGCATCATCATAAGCATCACCACCGCCACAATCACCATCATCAGCATCACCAGAATCAGCACCAGCATCAGCATCAGCATCATCATCATCATCATCAGCCTCATCATCATCATCATCATCATCATCATCATCATCATCATCATCTGCATCCTCATTGGCGTCATCATCATCACCATCATCAGCATCATTATCAGCACAATCAGCTTCCTCCTCCTCCTCATCAGCAGCATCTGGAGCATCATCACAACCATCATCCTCATCACCACCATCATTATCATCATCAGCATCATCACCATTATCACCACCACCATCATCATAATCCTCATCACCACCATAATCAGCATCAGCATCAGCACCATCATCCTCATCATCATCATCATGATCATCATCATCGCCATCGTCGTCCTCATCGGCTTCATCATCATCATCACCAGCAGCAGCTCCATCATCCTCCTCACCATCAACTGTATCATCATCATTATCATCATCATCATCATCATCATCATCATCATCATCATCATCACAATCATCATCAGCACCATCATCACAGCAGCATTATCATCATGGACATTATTATGTTCATAATCAACATCAGCATCATCAACATCATCAGCATCAGCCGCACCATCAGCATCAACATCAGCAGCAGCTGCACCATCATCATCATCATCATCATCATCATCATCATCATCATCACCATCACCATCATCAGCATCATCATCAGCAGCAGCCGCACCAGCATCATCATCATCATCAACATCAGGAGCAGCCGCACCATCATCATCATCACCATCATCATCAGCATCACCATCATCCTCGTCAGTATCATCATTATCATAATCATCAGCACCATCAGCATCATCACCACCACCATCACCAGCATCACTACTACCACAACCACCACCACCACCATGATCACCATCAGCAGCAGCCTCACCATGATCACCATCAGCAGCAGCCGCACCATCCTCATCATCATCATCATCATCATCACCATCATCAGAATCATCATCAACATCATCATCATCATCACAACCACCACTATCACCACCATCAGCAGCAGCATGATCAGCATCAGCATTATCATCATCGTCATCATCATTCTCATCCTCATCGGCTTCATCACCATCACCATCATCAGCATCATCAAAATCAGCATCCGCATCGTCATCCTCATCATCATCATCTTCGCCATCGTCGCCAACATCACCATCATCATCAGCATCGTCATCAGCATCAGCATCTTCATTATCATCATCAGCATGAGCATCATCATCACCAGCAGCATCAGCATCAATAGTATCAGTGCCGTTATCACCGTTACCATCACCATCAATAGTATCAGTGTCGCTATCATCTTTATCATCGTCACCATCACCAACCTCATCAGCATCACCCTTCTCATTTCCACCAACACAAATACCAGAACCACCACCACCATGCCCATCATCATCAGCAGCCGCACCATCATCATCATCATCATCATCAGCAGCAGTCACACCATCATCATCATCATCATCATCGTCAACATCGTCAGCATCAACATCAGCATCATCATCATCATCGTCATCATCATCATCATCATCATAGGCATCAGCATCATCAGCATCATCGTCATCATCGTCACCATCGCCACAATCACCATCATCAGCATCATCAGAATCAGCATCAGCATCAGTATCAGTATCATCATCATCATCATCATCATCATCATCATCGGCATCATCATCGTCACCATCTTAATCCTCATCGGCGTCAGCATCATCACCATCATCAGCATTATCAGCACCAACAGCTTCCTCCTCCTGCTCATCATCATCATCATCATCAGCATCATCATCATCATCATCATCATCATCAGCTGGATCATCATCACAACCATCATCATCACCATCATCATCATCAGCAGCATCATCACCACCACCACCATCATCATCATCATCATCACCATCATAGTCAGCATCAGCATCAGCAACATCATCATCATCATCCCCATCGTCATCCTCATCGGCTTCAGCATCATCACCATCATCATCAGCAGCATCTCCATCATCCTCCTCACCATCATCTGTATCATCATCATCACCATCATCAGCATCATCATCGCATTCGCATTATCATCAACTTCCCTATGTCCGTTATCAATATCGACAACCTCAACATCATCAGCATCACCCGTATCCTCATCACCACCACCACTTCTACCACAACCGCCACCACCACCACCATCAGCAGCAGCAGCCGCGCCATCATCATCATCATCATCATCATCATCATCATCATCGACATCTTCAACAGCCGCACCATCATCATCATCATCATCATCATCATCATCATCCTCATCATCATCATCATCGTCATCAGCATCATTATCATAACCGTCAGCACCATCATCATCATCATCATCATCATCATCATCACCGCCATCACCATCATCAGCATCATCATCCGCATCAGCATCATCATCAGCATCATCATCATTTTCATCCTCATCAGCTCCATCGTCATCGCCATCATCATCAGCATCATCATCAGTATCAGCATCCTCTTCCTCATCATCATCATCATCATCATCATCGTCATCATCATCAGAATCATGATCATCATCATCATCATCAGCATGAGCATCATCATCATCATCATCATCATCATCATCATCATCATCATCATGTGTATGATCATCATCAACATCATCATCAACATCAGCAAGAGCATATTCATCATCAGCATCATCATCACTACCACCATCCTCATCATCGTCAGCATCATCATAATCAGCATCAGCATCATCATCATCATCTTCATCCTCATCGGTTTCATCATCATCGGCATAATCAGCATGTGCATTATCATCATGTTCCTCCTGATCATCTGTATTATCATCATTCCCACCAGCATCATCGTCATCATCACCATCATCATCGTCACCACCGCCATCACCATCTTATCATCAGCATCATTATGTTCATCATCATCAGAATCATCAGCATCATCAGCATCACCCTTATCATAACCCCCACCACTACTACCACAACCACCACCGCCACCATCATCATCAGCAGCAGCCGCACCATCATCATCATTTTCATCATCATCATCATCATCATCATCACCATCAGCATCATTATCATCATCATCATCATTATCATCACTATCATCATCTCCATCATCATCATAATCAGCATCACCACCATCATCACCACCACCATCACCATCATCAGCATCATCATCCGCATCAGCATCAGCATGAGCATCATCAGATTCACCATCATCATCATCATCATCAGCAGCAGCATCATCCTCCGCATCATCATCTGTATCAGCATCGCCACCATCAGCATCAGCAGCATCATCATCACCATCAACATCGGCATCATCATCAACATCAGCATCAGCATCCTCCTCATCATCATCATCATCTGTATCATCATCACCACCATCATCACCAGCATCATCATCAGCACCAGCATCATCATCATCATCATCAGCAGCAGCAGCATTAGCATCATCAGCACCATCATCACCATTTTCATCATCATCATCCCTCCTCCTCGTCCTCCTGCTCCCTCCTCAGCGCGGGGGACCAAGCACAAATGGGTTTGGCTAAATATGTGTTGGCTGTGCCTGGACTGCCACACAAGAGCCAGGTATGACTGCACCCACATGTCCGGCATGCTCGAGGCATGCCCAGGAAATGATGTTGCCCTCTACCCTAATTAGAGCGCCCGAGAAGCGCGCCTTGTGTGTGCGACTACCTTGATGTTGAGTCCTTCACTGTGGCATGCAAGAAGCGAGGCCACCAGGCAGAGGCCACTACGCAGAGAGGTGAATGGAAGGAGAGCTTCCAAAGCAAGTGTTCCCCGAATGCTTGGGCCCTTTAGTCGGGTGGCCGACACCCCCAAAGTATCTTTAGGCCGCCCCCCGACTGTCCGAGCCAATCCCTGCAGCTCAGCTCCTCAAGGAAGGGGCGCAGAGACAGGCCGAAGAGAGCGTCAGTGGATGATCGGATGTAACCCAAGATTATTGTTGAAGGGTCGGGTCGGCCCAGCCTTAGCCTTCCCTCATAGCCTGTGATGGTCCTCCCCCCTTCCTCCTCCCTCCTCCCTCCTCCCTCCTCCCTCCGCCTCGTCCTCCTCCTCTTCCTCCTCCCTCGTCCTCCTCCTCCTACTCCTTTTCCTCCTTCTCCTCCTCCTCCTCCTGCTCCTCCTCCTCCTCTCTCTCCTCTCCTCCTCCTCCTCCGCCTTCTCCTCCTCCTCCCTCCTCCTCTCCTCCTCCTCCTCCTCCTCTCCTCCTCCTCCTCCTCCTCTCCTCCTCCTCTCCTCCGCCTCATCCGCCTCCTCCTCCTCCTCCTCCTCCTCCTCCCTCCTCCTCCTCCTCCTCCTCCTCCTCCTCCTCCTCCTCTTCCTCCTCCTCCTCCCCCTCCCTCCCCGACGCGGGCACCACGCCCCCGCGCTCGTCCGTCATCTTCCTGGCGCACACGCCGCAGCGCGCGCCGCGGGGCAGCCACGCCGCCCCGCCCTCCGCGCCGAGCTGCACGGCGGCAGCGGCGCCCGGGGCCGGCGATGGCGCCGCAGCGGCCGCGGCCTGCGCACCCCGCGGCTCCTCCGCCGCCTCCTCTCCGGCGAGCTCCGCGGCAGCCTCGCCGCCGGGGGCCGCGGCCTCCGCCTCCCACCTGAGGCGACGACGGCGACGACGGCGACGGCGGCGACGGCGGCAACGACGACGACGACGGCGGCGGCGGCGGCGGCGACGACGAGAATGGCGCCTTCCCTTCGCTTGCACGCGAGATGGCACAGCGACCTCACGCCGCGGCTTCCTCGGGCCGCCAACGTGGCACGCTGCTCTGGAAACGAATGCGCCTACGCGCGGCCTCGCGCGGGCAGTTTGCGCCGCAGCCGGCCCCGTTTCTGCTTGCGCCGCTCGCCTCTCCACGGCCTCCACGCTCGGGGTCGCCGTGGAGGACTTGACGGCGGCGGCTCCCTCCTGGTCTGGCCCGCCCCCGTCGCGCAGCCGCTGCAGCCACGACTCCGCGGTGCCTGCCCCGAGTCGCTCCAGGGCTGCGGCGGCGTGCTTGTGCACCATGGGGTGCTCGACCACGCCAGGCCTCACGCGCTCGGCCAGGGCCGAGATGGCCTCCGAGCTGCCCCGCGGAGCCAGCTCCGCGAGCGAGTCTGCCGCGAGGCAGCGCACGTAAGGCAGGCAGTCCTGCAAGGAGGCCATCATGAGCGCGATCGCGTCCGAGTCGCCCCTCGGAGCCAACCTCGCGACAGCCTCCAGCGCAGCCCCGCGGACTGGCCAGTCCTCGTCCTCCAGCCGCGCCGCCAGGGTGCCGATGATCATCTGGTCCCCCCTCTGCGCGAGGGCGGCCAGCGTGCTCGCCGCGGTCTGCCGGATCTGCCAGGGGTTCTCGCCGCCCAGGCGCGCGGCCACGGCGCCGACGATGCCGGAAGAAGGAAAAGCAGCATCGGCGTGAACTGTCGAAGGTCCCCACGGATTCCGTGGATGGGCGCAGGGCACCCCTCCCTGGCGCGCGGAGCGAGCGCGCGCCAGGTGGCTCCGCCAGAAGTGCCTCCAAGGGGGGCGGGGGTCCAGCGCCGATCAGAGACATCAGCGCGAACCTTCGAAAGCTGATGCCCATGCCGCGTCTTCTTCTTCTTCGATGCGCTTGTCGGCCTTGTCTGCCAACTGCGCCAAGGCCCTCAGGGCCGCCTGCTGCAGGCAGGGGTCCCGGTCCTCAAGCCAGGACGCGAGGGCGGAGACCACGGCGCGGTCGCCCTGGCAGGCGACGCAGGCCAGCGTCCTCACCGCTGCCATGCGCACCGCCGGCGCCACGTCCGCCAGCCGGCCCACCGCGAGGCTGGCCACGGACTGGTCGCCTTTCTCCGCAACGCCCGCGAGGGTGTCCAGGACAGACTCGCGGACCTGGAAGGGAAGACTGCACGAGCACACACTCTTGGAGGCCACGCGCGGATTGCATGGATCGGCGCTGGGCCCCCCTCCCCGGCGCACGGGGCGGCCCGACGGTGCCGCCCCTGGCCCGCTCCGCGCGCCAAGGAAGGGGGCCCAGCGCCGATCCAAGCCATCCGCGCGGGACCTCTGCAAGGATATGCTTACGCCCTGCGAAATGCTTAAGAAATCATGGGTTAAGAAATTCATAGTCTCAGAACTTGAATAAAAACCCAGAACTTCTATCAAAATCTTAGGATTTACATTGAAACATTAAGAATAATCGAGACTCTCGCCGAAAACTTAAGTTTTCTTAAGCATCGCCTAGGGTGTACGCCACTTTAGAGACCTCCCAGATGGGGTCCGAGCATCTGGGGTCGGAGGATCGCGCCGCATCGCCAATGCATCGGCGACGTCGGCGGTGCATCACCGACGTCGGCATGGAGGCAGTGGAGCTCCACATCGAACCACATCGCCGCTGCATCGGCGATGCGGCACGGCCCTCCGACCCCATCTACTCCCACCCTTCACTGGCGGCTCTTGCGAATCGACGCGAACCGCCGCTAATCTATGCTAGTCGACGCCAAAACGCTAAACCCGGCGCGTTCTCAACGATTACCAGACGCTAGCGCGCACCATTGCACTCCGAAGGCGGACTTTCGAGGCCACGCACGGCTCCCATGATCTGCCACCGAACGACCCCATCTGGGAGGCCTTGTATAGGGGAACCAACAATGACAGAACCAGCAGCTTTCGGAGGTCCGCACGGATTTCTCGGACCGGCGCTGGGGCCCTCTGGCAGCGCCCCCGGCGCAGCCCCTGGCAGCGCCCCCGTCTCGCGCCAGAGAGGGGAACTCCAGCGCCGCTCCGAAAAACCCGCGCGGAGCTCCAGAAGCTCATGCTGCTGTCATTGCTTGCTCCCCGCTCGGCAGCGCGGTGGGGCCGGAGCCCTTGGGAATCGTGGAAGTTGGGGAGGGTGCAGGATGTGCGCTTGAACCTGCGCTCTTTGAGAGGCCAGTGTGATGCGCGCGAGAATGCACGCGCCACGAGAAAGGCAAGCAGGCGTATGGAACACGGAACGAACCGAGGACCCCTGGCTTCGGGTTGTCCAGCAGCCCCGCCAGGGCGGCGATGACCTCGCGGTGGGGAGTAGGGTGCGGAGGGGCGGGAGGGAGGAGGAGGAGGAGGAGGAGGAGGAGGAGGAGGAGGAGGAGGGGGAGGAGGAATTACCTCGGAATTGCCTGACACCCACAACAGGTGGGAGGAGGAGGAGGAGGAGGAGGAGGAGGAGGAGGAGGAGGAGGAGGACCTCGCGGTCGCCCCTGGGCACCAGCCGCCCCACCGCCTCGGACGCCGCCTGGCGCACGGCGGCGTCGTGGTCTGCGAGCCTCGAGGCGACCGCCGCGACGACCTCCGGGCAGCCCCGCTCCGAGGCCTGGCCCAGGGCCTCCACGGCAGCCCTGCCGGAGAAGCGCAAGGGCAGAGGGCCACGCGCGAAGCCTACCCCGGCAGCGCGGCCGGCGTGCCGAGACCGAGCCACGCCGCGCCGCCCAGAGGCCGCTCGCCAGAGGCCCCGTCCGGCCAAGGGCCGCTCCTGCGCGTGGCCGCCCACCCCTGAGATCCGACGTCGCAAACAAAAATGCAACAGATAGGGGGCCACGTGCGAACCCGACCCCCACCCCCCACGATTTCTGAGGGGGAGGGTGGGGTTCACTCCGCTCGGGAGCTCCCAGACGGAATGAACCCCAGCCTCCCCCTCAGAACTCGTGGGAGGTAGGGGTAGGCTTCGCTTGTGGCCCCCCAAAGGGCACTCCGAGATCCAACGCATTGAGAAAGAACCTTTGCGTTTCGCCGTTCTTTTCGGCCTCTGGAGGCCCTCGCCGGGCCCGAAGAACGACTCGGGATGGAAAACTGGTCCCACGCAGTGGGTCGAGACGCCCGCGGACCCCGCATTGAGCACATCAAAACGCCAGAGCTCTGGGCGATCCGGGTCGTTCCGTGCGCGTGGAGGGGGGGCATCGCGTGGCGGTGCAGGAGATGACCTGCTCTTCGCGGCGCGTGGGGCAGGTGGATCGATCGAGGGCCTGGGTTCGGTGGGCCCAGGGTGGGGCCAGAGCGGGCCTCCACGGCCGCTCTGCTGGTGCAACGAGAATGGGGCGCAAAACGACAGCCTAGCACTGGCCATCGCTCGGACGTCCATTCCCTGTGCTCTTTTCGGTCTCGCGCGTGGGTTTCTTCGCCAGATGATCCAGGATGCTCCTCGATGGTCCTCGCCGAGGGATAAATGCGCGCGTCCGAGCGATGCCAAGAGTACTACGCGCCCTCCTCGGAAGCGTGCGTCCGAACCGAGCACGTCGTGCCAACATCTTGTAGCGTGTCGCTACCCGGCGCGCCCGCCTCCGAGCGCATAATTACTGTGAGATCTCCTGGCGTGCGCGTCGCTCCTCTGGTGACGCCAAAGGGACTCCAGGTCGCTCAGTGAGCGTGGAAGGGCTCGAGAGGCCCCCGAGAGGCGCCCAGAAACTGATCCCGGCGGCGAGCGGCGCGGAGGGGGGAAACGGAGAGGCAAAACGGCCTCTCGGAAGGCGGCGGCTGCTTCTCAGAAGCCCCGGCTCCTCCTGAGAGGTGTCCTGCGCCTCCGGGGCACACTTGGAGAACTTCCTGGAAGGACGGGGGACATCCGAGCCCTCGGGGAAGACCCGCCCCTCCTGAGTTCCCCCCTCGCTTCTGAGATCTCTTCCTTCGTCTTCTCCGTGGTGGCAGTGGGCCTCCTTCCTGCTATTCTATGCGTGTTCTGCCTCTCGCCTGCCACAGACGTCGCCGACGGTCGGAGGCCCCCGGGGGCCCTCCAGGATGCTGCAGGGATGCTCCCCAGAATTTGGACGCCCGAAATGGGTACAGGGCAGTGTTTGATACGTACAAAAAAACGTTGTTTTTGATGCTAAATCCCTGCATCTTCAATACATGATCCGCATGCGGAGCATGTATTAAAAACGGCACTGTACGGGAAAAATGGGTACAATGCCCAACAACAAATGCTGTCCCAAACCAACGGCGGCCGCTGTTGGGCAGGCGGCCTTCTGTCTCGAATGGACACAGGCCGCGGCGACACCGACAGCGAGCCCTGTTCAGAATGGGCAAGAACTGCTGCTGGGCATCGTACCCATTCTTTCCGTACCCATTCCGCTCGTGCCGAGATGCTGCAGGGATGCTCCCCAGAAGGCGCCCGGAGGAGCACGGGTGCCCCCGCTCCCCGGCAGCTCCTCCGGAGGAGAGTGCGCCGCGGCCGGGAGCCCGAGGCGAGCGTGGCCGTGGCCAAGAGGGCCTCCCGCGAGGCCCAAGAGTGCGAAAAAGCGAAGCAAATTGAGCGGGGGCCGACCGTCCCGGCATTCCTGTAGTGCTACCACGAGATGCTCTCAGAACCCCAAAAAGGTTCTAAGAACAAAAACAACCAATGTTCTCAGAACACAAGCCCGACGTGATAAAACAGGACAGTCCCAACCAGAAATGCTCTGAGAGCATGTCGTGGGAGCCGCAAAAAACGGTCCTTAGAACGCCGCTCGGTAGGACTATTCTAGGCACGCCGGGGCGCTCCGCCGCTGCTCGAGCAGAGGGGTGGCCACACAGGGTTTCGTGGCGAGCCCCGCCGTGGCGACGAGGGAAGCGCAGCGGCCGCGGCACCGAGCGCGCCCCGCCGGCCTGCGCCCGAGCGCGCCGCGCCGCGTGAGCCTCGCGAGGAGGCGGGCGCGCAGCAGCGGCCGCGCCCGCGCCCGCCAGCCGCGGCTGGCGGCGCGGAGGCGGCAGACGTCGCCGAGGCCGCCCGCGAGGAGCTGCGCGCAGACGCCCTCGTGGAACTCGGGGGCCAGCTGCGCCAGGCCCGGGCCGCGGGCCCGCCGCGGCGCCGGCCGGGGCCCGAGCTCCGCGCGGCGGCGCTGCCGGCCGGGCGCTGCCACGGGTGCGGCCGGGCCCCTCGGGGCCACGTGCGTCTCGAGCGGGGGAGCGCCGGCAGAAGCGGCTTGCCCCTGAATGGATGTTGCGCGTCGGCTCTGCGAACACAGGCTTATAGTGCTCGTAGACCGACGAAGCTTATACATATCTGTATGTGTACTATACCCATGCGCGCTTCGCAGGCCTTGACGACTTCGCAGTTACACTGAAGCAATGAGACACACGCGGTTGGAACCAGAAGTGGGTCCCCCGCCTCACATTACCTTTGCCATCAGCAGCTTCTACGGCATGCGAGCCAAACCATTAGACATGCAAGACATGCACGTGAATGCGCACCCCGGAGTTTGTCAGGATCCCAGGGGTCTCTTCGGAGACTTGGTGAGTCCTGGAAGCCACGGGGGCCTCTTCGGTTTTGTAGAGAGTGTTTCGGAAACGTCTTGAGGGATGCTGGGGACTTTGGGGGGTGTCTGGGAGCTCAGAGGTTTTGGTTGTCCTGGCGGGGCTCCTGTCTGGACACTCTCTTGGAGCCATGTTGGAGGCCAGATGAATCATGTTCCTGGAAGGCTTTCTGGGAGCAAGGATTTGTGGTGTGCTGTTTGGAACGTTTCGTCGTCGTCGTCGCCTCTTGCAGAGCCTGGTTGGAGGCCTGATGAATCATATTCCCAAGGCCTTCTTAGAATGTGCTTGTTGGGTGTGCTTTCGGGTGGTGCTTGAGGCGTTACGTCGTCGGCGTCGCCTCTGGGGGAGCCATGTTGGGGGCCTGATGAATCATGTTCCCAGAAGGCCTCATGGGAACGTGATTGTTGGGAGTGTACTGGGGGGGCTGCTTGGGGTGCTTCGTCGACCGTCGTCGTCGTCGCCCGCATTGAATGGGGACCTGATGAATCATGTTATCGAAAGGCCTGCTTGGGACGCCCTCGGGAGCTTACCGAGGTCTCCCAGACGCCCCAGGAGGGCCCATGAAGTCCCAGACAAATCCCAGACAGTGAAACAGGCCAGTTTGGGATTTGTCTGAGATTTCCGATTATGGAGCCCAAGTTGACACTCCCATGGCCTCATCTTGAGCATCCCTTACGAGCCTTATATGGATCCTTCTACGTTACGCTGCATCCTGTACCACTGCATCCCGCTGCACTCCTCGAAGGTTTTCATATCTCTCAAATGTTTCTCTGGATTGGGGGGTTGGGACACGAGAAGGCGCCACGAGGCGCCGAGAAGAAGCCCGACATGGGCCCACGAGGGGCTGAAGAGGAGCTCCAGAGAAGCCCAAGAAAGGCTGGGGAGGGCTCCAAGAAAGCTCCCAGAGAGCACCCCAGCAGTGGCACCCAAGAGGGCCATTTGGGTGCCACTGTCAGAAAGCGCTCTCGAGGCGCTCTTGGGCTTCTTGCTCGGGAGCCTTTCGGAATCTTCCGAGGAGCCCAAGAGGAGCCCAAGAGCAGCTTGTTGGCCCTCTTGGAACCATCTTCGAGGCGTCTTGGAGCCCTCTCAAAGACCCCATCCGTGTCCAAAAGAAGCCCAAAAGCAGCCCGAAAGGGGCCCAACAACACTCCAAGAAGACCCGAAGATTGCACCCCGACAGTGGCACATACGAGCCCCTTTTGGGTGCCAGTCGGGTGGCCTTTTGGGGGCCGCGCGTGGCGTCTAGAGGAGCGCGGGAGGAGGATCGAGATCGCGGATAATGATAATATCGAGCTGCATACATTGCTAGAACACGTAGCATGCCGTAGCGCATCCCTGCCACGCTCGAGTATAGACGGGCGACCCACGACTGCGATCAGGCTCAGCCGTTAACGGACCTGATCCCCTGCCGCGCCGCTCCCATCCTCTCCACCCCCCTTTCCACCTGGAGTAGTGTGGCGGCATGAGTGGCGCGCGATCCCCCACCCACCCCCCTCTCCCACCACCGCCCTCTCCGTGTGGGGCGTGCCGAAATGGGCGGAGGGGCGCTACGCCAAGCCTTCTCTCTGGAGCCGCAGGTGAAGCTCCCTCAGGTGCACGATCCGCGTGACAATACATGTCCTCCGATTATATATATATATATATATATATATATATATATATATATATATATATGTACATATATATATATATATACATCCGGGTACAGTGTGGGGGCCTCGGGGGCCAGCGCCTCGACGGCGCACGGGGTCCACGGCTCGCCGGAGCCGTTCGGGAGGATGCCCGGCTCCGAGACGCGCCAAGATCCCCAGCGTGGTCCACGACGGCAACCATTCGTCGACAGATCGCCCCAAGATGCCGAAGATGCCCGCCAGAGAGCCCTACGGGCCGCCAAGACGCCCAAAAAGGTCTCCAAGAGGCTTACCCACAGGGCCCCAAGAGCCCCAAATCATTGATTTTCCTAAGGGAAGCGTGCATTTTCAGCAAGTGCGATTTTTCGGCTTCATGGCGTTGACGACGGCCCAATAAGTCTCCAATGTAGCTCCAAGACGGCCCCAGAGGCTCCCAAGA